ATTTAGAAAAAATCACAATGTATTATCAAAAGAAGTAGCACATTTGCTCCACCACTGGAGTGCAAGTTAAAATAAAAGATATTATTCAAAACTACCTGACAATAAAATTGTTAGACCGTGGTAATTAACCCTTCAAAACGTTTACCACGGTACACGTACGAAGGCTTTACAAATATAGGCTGCACAAATATACTAAGTGACATGAAATCAAGATTGAAGAAAAAAGCAGATCTAAAAAGACTGGTAATAAAGCAATTAAATTGTTAGATTGGGAAAGAAAGTTGCTGAAAGCTATGGCAGGTGACTGTAATCCTACAATTCGGAAAATTATAGGTGCCATTCAGGTTGGTAGTGTTCAAGAAGAAGGTTAACTATACTAAGTGACATATAAATCCGAACACCCAGTATAAATGGTTTTATTTTAATAAAAGTTGGTGAATGTATTTATCTTACTGTAAATAACAAGTGAAAAAATGTTCAGCCTTATCAGTTGGACATTCCGATTTTTATACTGCTCTCTTTTAATTCACTAACGCTTTAAAATGAATATTTCAGCCGCAGTAAAGAATCAACGTTGGCGGATTTTGGTTCTTGACATCCTTTACGATCGGTTACGATGCCTAGAGTATGGAGACCTGTACGATTTCGTCAACTTAGTGAGTTTGATAGGGGCCATATAGTGGGACTTTGGGAAGCTGGACTTTCTTCTCGGGCAATTGCAGTTAGAGTGGAAAGAAGTGTAGACACTGTGGTTAGGTGTCGTCAGGCATGGCTTCGAGAAAGCCGTACGCAAAGAGCAAGCGGCACTGGACGCCGCCGTAGAACAACAGACCGTGAAGATCGCCGCCTAAGATTATTGGCCTTAAGGGACCGTTTCTCCACTATCAGGTCCATTGCAAATGAATGGTTTGCAGAACACGGAAGACCTATTGGCATGCGAAGTGTTTACCGACGAATGAGAAGTTTTGGCTTGTTTTCATACCGGCCACACTGGGTCCTCCCTTTAACTCGAGAACACCGACGTAATCGCCTTGAGTGGTGCAGACAACGGTCACTCTGGGATCAGGACTGGAACAGTATTGTCTTTAGTGACGAGTCTCGATTTTGTTTAGGCATGCACGATGATCGTGCCAGGGTTAGAAGGCCACGTGGTGAAAGGAGGAATCCACAGTTTTTTGTTGAAAGACATGTTCATCACACTGTTGGAGTTATGGTTTGGGGTGCTATAGCTGATGGTTCCAGGTCACCTTTAATCTTCATCAGAGGTAACATGAACGCGCAGCGTTATATCCACGAAGTTCTAGAACCCCACCTTTTACCCTATCTTGACACCCTGGCAGATCCAACTTTCCAACAAGATAATGCCCGACCACATGTTGCAAGAGTCACAATAGACTTCTTTCAACATAATGATGTCACATTGTTACCATGGCCACCAAGATCTCCCGACTTATCCCCAATTGAGCACGTGTGGGATATGATGGGTAAGAGATTGCTCAATTTGCAACGTCCTCCTCAGACTCTAGAAGCACTTCGAGAGGAGTTGTGGTTGCCTGGAATGAGATACCACAGGAGGACATTGACCACCTGATCAGAAGCATGCCTAGGCGCGTTGGAGAATGCGTAGCACATCAGGGTGCATCCACACATTATTAAAGGTCACAGGGCTTTAAAGCAGTGCAATCATTTTGATATTTTTATCATTTACTTATTATGCTTCATTAAGTACTTATACAAAATTTTATTAAAATAAAACCATTTAAACTGGGTGTTCGGATTTATATGTCACTTAGTATATTTTAACGCCTAAACCTAAACTTATCTGGATAGTGCTCTTATCTGGATAATGGTCTTCTTCCAGTTACAGCTCTAGGTGCAGCTGAGGTATCCACAGTTCATAAACGCTCAGGTCAAAAATCTGTGGCCAGCAGTGGGTAGTGACGTGAGGAACGTCACAAGGTAGGGGCTGCTTGCTTTGATTTCAAAATTTACGGTATAAGGAAACCCTAGCGAGAGAAATACTGTTTAAAAATCTACTCTCTACTCTATGTCTGAGACAGAACTACTCATTTAAAACACTCAAAACTTGAAGAAAAATCCACAATTCACAAGACAAGTAAAGCAGATGCAAAAAGATAAAAATGTACTCAGAAAGTTATCGCTTATTCTAACATAAGTTATGGCAGCTCAAAAATCAAAATCATCAATGTAATGTAATAAGCCCAAAAGACGGTGACATGTAGGCACTACCCTAATTTGAATACGAAAAATGCCAAATAAAATCGAGAACACTCTAAGAATTTTAGTCAACAATAATCAACATATTAATATCCACAAAATACCCAATTAAAGGGATGGCTTCCAACAAAATCGTCTGCGAAACAGCTACAAGGCAGCTACAGTACAAAGTTGGAGGAGTGTGAATGGTGGTTCTACACAATGCCTTTCCACTAAAAAAAAGCAGATATTGAACAAACTTCTTCAGGACGAGCATTAATGGACGTAGTCCGATGGTATATAGAAAATGGACGGGTAGTACCCCAACCAATACAACCAAACGTAAGGTACAAAGTAAAAGGGTACTGCTCCATAAATTGATATTTGGGATATAATGTCCCAGAATTTGGAAACTAATGAAACAACACCCACAACATAATCTCCGCAGGAAAGGAATAGCAAAATGGCGCTGGACGCGTCTGAACACCAAGTTTTTAAAACAAGGTATCTTGATCGGAAATCAAATATTAAAAGAAGGTTAAATGAGTGACCCTGACGAAGGCACGTTCGACAGAAAATCAAAAGAAACGGAGAAAAGCCGGTAAAGAAGCTATCTTGATAGTGAATCAAATTTTCACACAAGGTATCTTGATAGGACGGGAAACATTCATGTACGGCTAGTACGTGTAAAAATCACAAGGTGACGCGCCAGTCGCCAACTCTGTTTACGAGGGACCAACAAAATTTTATGAGGAAATTTCTAAGATAGTCGTTAATATACTAAGTGACATATAAATCCGAACACCCAGTTTAAATGGTTTTACTTTAATAAAAGTTGGTGAATGTATTTATATTACTGTAAATAACAAGTGAAAAAATTTTCAGCCTTATCAGTTGGACATTCCGGTTTTTATACAGCTTTTTTTTTAATTCACTAACGCTCTAAAAATGAATATTTCAGCCGCAGTAAAGAATCAATGTTGGCGGATTTTGGTTCTTGACATCCTTTACAATCGGTTACGATGCCTAGAGTACGGAGACCTGTACGATTTCGTCAACTTAGTAAGTTTGATAGGGGCCGTATAGTGGGACTTCGGGAAGATGGACTTTCTTTTCGGGCAATTGCAGTTAGAGTGCAAAGAAATGTAGACACTGTGGTTAGGTGTTGTCAGGCATGGCTTCGAGAATGCCGTACGCAAAGAGCAAGGGGCACTGGACGCCGCCGTAGAACAACAGACCGTGAAGATCGCCGCCTAAGATTATTGGCCGTTTCTTCACTACCAGGTCCATTGCAAATGAATGGTTTGCAGAACACGGAAGACCTATTGGCATGCGAAGTGTTTACCAACGAATGAAAAGTTTTGGCTTGTTTTCATACCGGCCACACTGGGTCCTCCCTTTAACTCGAGAACACCGACGTAATCGCCTTGAGTGGTGCAGACAACGGTCACTCTGGGATCAGGAATGGAACAGTATTGTCTTTAGTGACGAGTCTCGATTTTGTTTAGGCATGCACGATGGTCGTGCCAGGGTTAGAAGGCGACATGGTGAAAAGAGGAATCCACAGTTTTTTGTTGAAAGACATGTTCATCACACTGCTGGAGTTATGGTTTGGGGTGCTACAGCTTATGGTTCCAGGTCACCTTTAATCTTCATCTGAGGTAACATGAACGCGCAGCGTTATATCCACGAAGTTCTAGAACCCCATCTTTTACCCTATCTTGACACCCTGGCAGATCCAACTTTCCAACAAGGTAATGCCCGACCACATGTTGCAAGAGTCACAATAGACTTCTTTCAACATAATGATGTCACATTGTTACCATGGCCACCAAGATCTCCCGACTTATCTCCAATTGAGCACGTGTGGGATATGATGGGTAGGAGATTGCTCAATTTGCAACGTCCTCCTCAGACTCTAGAAGCACTTCGAGAGGAGTTGGTGGTTGCCTGGAATGAGATACCACAGGAGGACATTGACCACCTGATCAGAAGCATGCCTAGGCGCGTTGGAGAATGCGCAGCACATCAGAGTGCATCCACACATTATTATAGGTTAAAGGGCTTTAAAGCAGTGCAATCATTTTGAAATTTTTATCATTTACTTAATATGCTTCATTAAGTACTTATACAAAATTTTATTAAAATAAAACCATTTAAACTGGGTGTTCGGATTTATATGTCACTTAGTATAATACTATAACATTAGTGTCCAAGAGATTTCAAAATAATACTGAATCGCTGAGAAAGAAAGATATACGTGTGCAATTATACAGTCAATAAACTATAAAATTTGAAAAAAGAAAATCATTGAAAAGGGGTTTGGTCTAGGAATCAGTACTCTATAATCAGTAAAGATAAATTCAAATTACTGATAAGTGATTAAAATAGTAAAAACAAGGTTTCGTAATTTTGGAACGTGACATAGTATTCTCTCAGGGACACACGTCTGGACTATTTTTACTTCTGGTTACGTTCATGAATTATTACAGAGTGTATATAAAGAACTCATACCGCTGTATTTAAAATCTTCGACATATCCAAAAAAACGCTGACACATCCAAAAACCCCATCTGGTAGTCGCAAACGTGTTTTTGTCAAGCCACAGAAACAGAGAAAGGCTCGAGGCGATTAGCCACACCTTTCCAGGCTAGCTCATCTGTCTTCTCTTATTTCCTTTGTGTTCCTCGCATCCTGATAGAGAGAAAGCAACGCTACCTTGTTTCGGTTTCCCAGCTCTTTGAGAGGTTTCATTGATGACAAAGTTAAACATTCATCATTAGTTCCAGGTTGTGATGTGCACGTTACAGAAGACTTGATTTAGCAGGAGCACGTCTTTTGAATAACAGAACTTGCTGGTAAGAACTAGGAAGTAATAATATCATACTTTAATTTCCTTATCATGTAGATACCTATGGAACAAGATGCAGCTAAAGACCCGGCCTGGAATACGAGCTCAATGTCTGACTTCAGTCTCAAGCCACGTCAACGTACAGTGACCTGGCAGATTTCTTCTGGTCATGTTTGTCAGTTTCTCACTTCAACCTGGCTGTACCCTGTACATAAAGAATTGGTCAGTGTAATACATTAAAAATATGGAACAATCTACTAGAAGATCTTTTATGGCATAACTGTATCGACATTTATCTGTCGTTGTTAGAAGTAAGATTATGACCCGCTGAACAGCTTTTACATTCGTATCCTAACATAATATGAGCTTTACTGTCCTATTATCTATCGAATTTTATGCCAAAAATATTCATTCCAAGCTTAAATTCTCAACCATCGCACCATTGCGTAGACCTCAAGCTCCTGGTCCAACATAAATATATGAGCTTTCCTTTCGTTTTATGTAACTTACGGCTAACCGTTTCTTGTGCCCTTTGGTTTTTTAGTATATTATAGCAGGAATATTCATGCTTAGCTTTAATCATGGAAGTAATATATAGTTAATATGTCAACTACGTGTGTAGTACAGCGAACAATTTATTGTTCAGTATTAACTGGCCACTGCTACTGCATTATGATGTTGTCAGTTGTAAAGTCTAATTAATTACGATAATAGTACTCGTATAATAATTGCTTTATTAGTTTTAGTCTTTCAATTAGTAGTAATAGATTATATAACAAGTTTTGTTTAAAAACAGGAGAAACATTGTTCATTATCGGCAGTGTTTAATTCACAATCAATCCCATAAGAAAACAAGATATATATATATATATATATATATATATAAATAGAAGTTGCGCCGTCTTCTTAAAATGCCAATTTAATAGCTTTTACACGTACTTGAAGTTGTCCACAGTGTCTCTGCATGAAAATTCATCGATTTAATGATATGCACGTTATACCTGAACACCTAGGAACTGTAAACCAAATAAAAAATTTCTTCATGCAATCAGTCTCGAGTGATTCTTCACTGACACGCAACTCCCTCATGAAGCAGTTGAGTTTTCATACACCAATGGCAATGAAGTATATTAAAAGATGGTTTCAAGGATCAATAGCCAATGGTGCGTAATTTCCATACCTTCGACCCATCAGCATGCTCTGTACTTCATCAAAGGTCTTCAAAATGATTTTGGATGCTAGATTGAGAGACTTTGTTGCTAAATATGACATTTTTCCAGAAAATCAATCAGGGTTCAGATCAGCCTGCTCGAAGCGACATATGATATTAGCAAAAAAAAAACATTAATCATTGCAACACATGCATCTTACTCTTACTAGTTTTCTCAAAGGCTTTTGATAAGCTAAGCCATGATCTACTGACTGCTGTTCTACGGTACTTCGATCTTTCAAACAGCTTATTTGTTAAGATGTCAAATATTTTGGTTAATCATCCGTGTTATCTACCGTTTCTCGAGGTGTACCACAAGTATCTGTTTTTGGTCCACTCTTGTACACTCTATACACTTCTCATCTAAACAAACACGTCTCATATCACTATTACGCTTACGACACTCAACAATATATTGCTTTTGGAGAATCGGATATGACCCGTACTTTAATTAACATGAACGAGGAACTTCAGGCTATTTATCAGTTAACAGAAAAATATTGTCTCTTCGTCAGTGCAACTAAATCTATCGACTATTTGGTAATAAGACTCGAGGACTATACTCCAATAATTTAGGCATTTCGGGCAAGCCAAAATAACTTTTACAAATTCCGCGAGACGTTTACGGGTTATGCTAGATTCTTCAGCCCTGTCTCAACTATGCAGACTGTGTCTACAGCCATCAGTGCTACAACGAGATAAGACATGCCTTCAGCGTCATAAGATACTGAATACTAAATCACTATCCTTAACAAGAAGATCAACACCAGTACCGAAGTGCGTAGTCGTAACACGAGGCTTAAACGTCATCCCTCGCTACCTAAATCTGACACATCGAATTATAAATACTCCTATGATATACAGGGTGGCGCATCGAAAACGAAACAGACGCATTTACTGGCAGCTCAGTTTTTTTTTTGGGAAAACGCTCAGACCCGTCGATTTTGTATTTGAGAGGGACACAAGTCTGGCAAAAAATCACGTTATCACGTGCAGCCCCCTGGGCGGGGGTGACACCAACCCTAAAATCTTAAATGGAAAGGGGGAGTCGAGTGATACCTTATTTTACAGGTCTTTCAATTCCCTTTATAATGATGTAAAATACATGAGCTTCAGTTCAGTAGTTTTGAAGATTTATTGATTTGAAGCTTAAAGTAGACTTTAATAGGTACATCAGATTAGTTTGTACTACTTTCAGAAGAAACTTGATTAAAAGAGTTTAAATAATTAAATGCTTTTCTTCACTACGCCCATGGTTTGTTTATCATTTGTTGTTGAAAATAGCTATTGGAGGGTTTTCTTATGACAAAAAAGTTATTTCTTGAAGAAAGATAAGGAAATATCTCGTACTTATTTCAAATACGAATTTAGTACATAGTTTTAGATTGATTTGACCAAACTTTGTTGCTAAAATAACTTGTAACGCTTTATTACATTAATTAACCATGGTATATTCCACAGCAGAAAGAGTTGAAATTATCTAAATATTTTTCGGAAATAATCAGTGCCCTAATAGAACAGCAGAAATATTTAATGAGCGACATGACAACAGTAACGTGCATAGAAAATATGTTCTAGAACTTGTAGCTAAATTTCGCCAATAAAAACATTGAACATTCCATAAGGAACGAAGCCATAGAGTTGGGGGTTTTAGGGCAAGTTTATGTAGATCCTACGTTAAGTACCCGCAAATTGGAGACTGTGCGTGGTGTTAGTCGACGTACTGTCCAACGGATTCTAAAGGCCCATAGTTTTCATCCGTATAAAATTCACCTGGTACAAGAACTTAAAGTGGCGTAGTAAATCGTCACATCTGCCGGTATTGGTCCGATTCTAATCCCAGAATTTATCATGCGGTTCATACACAGCAGCCAAAAAAATTAAATGTGTGGGCTGGTATTTTTGGCGAACATTTAGTTGGTCCTTTTTTCTTACCTGGAAATTTGACCGGTGAAATATATTTAGAATTACTGGAAGACGCCATAGATAATAATAATAATAATAATAATAATAATAATAATAATAATGTTTATTGTCACAAAATACATGTAAATATTAAATATTGTGCACATTAAACATAAAGCACCCAAAAAAAGTTTGCACTTGTGTTTGGGTTTGTACAAAAAGTCAGTGTATGAAAAAAAACCCGTTAATACTGTATAATTTGGTGAATTATTATGGTAATGTCAGGAAAAATATCCAGACAATTATAACTAAAGTAAAAGTATGGATGTTAGTGTAAGTAAAATATTATTGATTTTGATAATGATTTTTCAGATCTACAATTTCGTGGATGGAGTACCTTGGTTGTTGTAAAATCCATTTTTTTAGTTCTTTTTTAAATGATTTAATTGATTTAATTACTTTCAATGACTCTGGTATGAAGTTATAGAATTTTGGTCCCAAGAAAAAAAGAGATCTTTGTGTAATGGTTTTTGATGTTTGTGGAATACACATTGAATTTTGATTGAATCTTGTTGGGTAGTTATGAATGCTACGATTAAAGTATTTTGAATATTTAAAATAATGTATTAGACCACAATAAAAATAAATTTGCCTGCAATCTAATAGCTGAGCCTCCACATATATAAAATCACTTGAATAAGTAAGCTCCCTATGGAGGATCAATTTTAGAATTAATTTTTGGATTACATCAACCTTTTTGTAATTATTATTCATAACTCCCCCCCAAGCCAAAATTCCGTAATAGAGGATAAACAAGAGCATAATATAGATTATATAGATATTTCTTATCTAGAATATCTCTGAAGTACCTGAATTTTTGAATAATACATCTCAGTCTCTTCACAAGGTACTCTGTATGGGTATCCCATTTTGAGTGTTTCTCCAGAATCACGCCTAAGTATTTTATTTTATCGGCTGACTGAATCTCCTTGAGACCACTGCTTTTATGAACTTCAAGTTTTTTAAATTGTGGTGAGAGCCTGTCGTTACAAGAAAATGCTATATAGTGTGTTTTGTTGTAATTAATTGTCAAAGTTCTTTCCGAAAAGAAATTTATAAATGTTTTGCAATCATGTTCGATTGTGGTTTTTAGTGTATCCCACTGGTTGCTTTCATAGAGAATAGCTGTATCATTCGCAAAACCGATAACTTTACCTGTACTACTTATTTGGAACAAATCGTTGATAAATAGATTAAATAAAATGGGTCCTAATACTGAACCTTGAGGTACACCGTATGATATAATATGGGGTTCACTGATTGTGTTATAAATTTTGACACACTGCATTAACAGCCATAATTGAAAATTAGAATGATCGGCGGTACATTGCGAATAGGTTGATGTTCCAACAGGATGGTCCCCACCACATTACGCATTACGTGTTCGACAATATTTAGATCTGACGTTTCCAGATCGATGGATTGGTAGAAGAGGTCCCATTGAATCGCCACCAAGATCGCCAGATTTATCACCTTTGGATTTATTTATGTGGGGTCATTTAAAAAGCCAAATCTATGCTACTCAGCCAACATCATTAGAAGACCTGCGACAAAGAATTGTGAATGAGTGCCTTCAAATTACTTCTCAAATATTGCAAAATGTGCGGCAACGTTTTGAGCAAAATATTTATTATTGCATGGAGAGCCATGGTGGCCATTTTCAACATTTACTTGCCTAGCAGTTCAGTTCATTCTTCATTTTTAAGTTACTTTGCTGCCAAATGTATTGATCCCCACTAATGGTGATGTATTAGTGTTATTTAAGCTTTAAATCAATAAATCTTCAAAACTACTGAACTGAAGTACATTAATTTTATATCATTATAAAGGGAACTGAAAGACCTTTAAAATAAGGTCTCACTCGACCCCCCTTTCCATTTAAGATTTTAGGGTTGGTGTCACCCCCGCCCAGGGGGCTGCACGAGTTAACGTCATTTTTTGCCAAACTTGCGTCCCCCTCGAAAACAAAATCGACGGATCTGAGTGTTTTTCATGACAAGGTTTTGTCTCTTCTAATCTCAGCAATAGGGTTATTATATACCTCAGCAATGAAAAATGACCTGGTGGCATC